TGTTAAGGACTTTGGAGAGGGGAGCCACAGTCTCCCCAAGCCCCTGGCCCCTGACCCATCTCTACATAGAAATAATGCACTTTCTTAGTGCTGAGCCCCACACTCCACAGTAGCCATTGGAAATCATGTATATGAAAGTGTAAGGGGTCAATGGGGCTAATAGGGGGACATATGTAATACTTTCAACAATAAAGATTTAATAAAAATAAATAAAATGGTTTTCCTATGAAATTGGCAAATTTTAAATTATACATAATTGTTAGTTAGCCTTATATCATATTATCATGGTTATTTTTAATATTCATAGTTATTATAACTAGTATTTTAAAAGTTTGATGACACCTTCAGGGGCCATTCTTTTCACAAGTGAAAATTCCTCCTCATAACCAGCCCCCTTAAGCTCGCCAAGGCCTAAAGCAAAGAGAAATCCTTATGATGCTTCAAGGGCATCCCACAGTGACTACTGCTGTTGGGGTAAATACCTCAGAGGTCCAGGAACCTGCAGCCCAGTGGTGGTAGCCTTTAGAGCTAAGAGGCCACTTTTTTCAGCCTCAAAGTCACTCAGATACAGACCCTAAATTTTTTTTTTAATTTTTCCTTTTCATTCAATGACAAGAAATATTGGGTTAATTTTTTCCTTTTCTTCAATTTTGACCTTCTAGTTCTTTCTCCATCTCTATTCTGGATCTGAAATCTATAAGTTCCTAAATTTCAACTCTGAAAATAAAACATCATGGCAGAGACTTCCATTTTTCTATCCAATTATTTATTTATTTTTGTCTTTCTAAAAATACCTTTAACAGTGTACAATTCAGAACATTCAAGTGTGCAATCAAAAACTTCCCAGACATGCTAAAAAGCAAGAAAATGTGATCCACAATCAAGAAAAAATATGAATCAGTACACTGATTCAGAAATAAACAAGACTCAGAAGCTGCTCATAGGCAGCTAGGATTCTCCAGTGTAACCTCCTCTGGGTGGCATTTTCATATGCCTTATTATGTCAGTAACTCATCTCCTCTTGATCTTATATAATCTAACTAGGTGCATGGATTCATGCACTGGTGGAGTCCATCGGCCTGGCCTACGGATATCCTCCTGGATTATGAGAGAGCGCAGGCCAGGCCGAAGGACCCCACTGGTGCACGATTGGTTCTGGGGAGGGACTGCTGGAGGGTTCCAGGACATGTACAGCTGTCTCACCAAGTCCTGATTGGCTGGACCCCAGCAGCAAGCCAACCTAACGGTTGGAGCATCTATCCCCTGGTGATCAGTGCATGTCATAGCTACCAGTGGAACAGTTGCTTAGGCTTTTATATAGAGAGATTGAAGGCCACTCCACAGGCTGTAGAGATAATTCATCAGGTCCCCATATTGAGCTGTGTTCATATTTCTAATTTTGTTTGTGGAAACCTGAGTAAATGTGACTACTGACTTTTATATTTTTCGACAGCACTGTGTTACCCAAGTACAACATCTCAAGAACCTAATGTGGAAAAAATCAGGGATGCTAGAGGTGAAGGACTGAGGACGGTGCCCGTTGGTCCCCAGTTGAGCTAGTCCATGCGTCTGGAGCAGTCTGGAAGTCACAGGAAATGGTGGGTAGCCCTTCTCCCCAAGAGCTCATGCCCCTTTGAATAATGCCCTGAGCAGGTCCGGCTGGTTAGTAAAAATAGGTTGGCTTTATCGACTGTGCCAGGCAGTGGCTAATTGGAGGCTTCAGCACAATATTGCAAAGACACTAAGAGTTCCAGAGTTCTCTGTTATCCTTTCATTTCTGGATTGATATAAACTTTATTTTCCCTCAAGCCTTTTTTCTCCTTTTGGATCCTAGAATGCTGATGCTGCAGATGAACAGGCGAGACCCCCGCATGCCACCTGTGAAGTGCAGTGAGAGTCAGCATGCATCTGGTTAGTGGAACTGCCAAGAGGAATATATGCAAACCCGGTGCTGACCGACCACAGTGTTACATGTCATAATGTTAAAAATGTCCGCAGTAGGTTTATTCCCCAGACGAGAGCAGTGGAGCATCTGTTGTGTTGAGGTGAGGGGTATTAGGGAGTGAAATTGAGAAGCCCTGGTAGGTTGATAGTAGTCATTCCCCTTATTACTTTATAAAGACAGAAATATAGAAATAGAATAGAATAAGTTGTATTTTTTTAAAAGAAAGTTTGGCCTTGATATAAACCCTGCCCTGACTCAGTGTGGCGGGCCAAGAACCACTGTTTAGAACACGAGCAGACAGAGTGGGCTTTGGGGCATTTCTGACCATCAATGTGGAGTCACTGTTCTCCAGGACAGTCATGTCAAGTATTGTGTCAAGACCGAGGGAGTGGCGTGTAACGCACCACACAAAACCACAAGCCTGGACACCCGCATAAGGACTCCACCTGGACACGGATATGACTGGGGCCTCCGCTCCCGGTGGGCAATAAGGACTCAGGCTCCGACCTCCCAGTGCTGGAGCCTGGCTGCAGAAGGGGCAGTGCTCGGAGCCCTGCCGGCCTTCCCCCCAGACGGGTGTGACCCCCGCTCGCTTGACCCCCTGCGGTGTGACCCCCGCTCGCTTCTCTCTCCACCTGCGGACCGCTTCTATGGAAGGCTCCCCCTCTCTGTGTGCTTCTATGGAAGGCTCCCCCTCTCTGTGTGTGACCTGCGTGTGATTCTATTGGCTTCCCAGGAAGGCCCCCCCCCCCCAATAAACCGGGCATCTTGGAAAGACGCAAACGCGCGTGAGTGACTCTGCGGGACAAGCACACTCAGGGAGGCGCGCCACAAGTCTACCAGCTCCCCTCCTCCCGGGTGCGCCGCCCGCAGCGTCCCTTTCACTTTTGCAGCCACTTGCAGTGAAGTTTGCAGCCAGAATGTCCGGCCGCGGGAAGCAGGGCGGCAAGGCGCGCCCCAAGGCCAAGACGCGGTTCTCGCGG